AAAAGCATAGTTTTTCTTCCTCAATTTCACAGAGGATCAAATTCCACATCCTCCCCATAACAAAATCTTTACCAAGAGTTACCAATAATTAGCAAGACTAATTTAATTTTCTTCCCTAAATCCACTGGCCCTCAAATGAAGATGCTTAAAAGCAAAGGGAAATTCTAAAAGGCAGTAAGTTGGAAAAAAATGGGACGTAAGAAATATTAAAATAAAGGAACATATAATAGGTCATGAAAAATTAAGCATATACAGTTAGGCATACATAAAAATATAAGTATATATTTTTTCTTCTGAAATCTCAAGTTACCGAAAAGCCAACAAATGGCAATATGATTTCAAGGTAACATTGTGGTATGAGACAATCCAAGTTCATATAGAATTGACTGTGCTGCAGAAACTTTCCTTTTGAAAATTACAGACTTGGTGGTAATTTTGGGAGAATTGCTTGAGCCCAGGAGTTCAAGACCAGACTGGGCAAAATAGTAAGACCCTATCTCTACAAAAAATTTTAAAAATAAGAAAGAAAGAAAAGTAAGAAAAGAAAAAAATAAAAGGAGGGTCTTTATGGTCTCTATTTTACAAGGTTATGATGCTCTCTCTGCTTGAGTGTAATAGCACAAATAAAATGAAAAATGCTACAAACAATTGTCATTTCTACTTTGAAAACCAAACCAGCACTCTGGGAGGCTGAGGCAGATGAATTCCTCGAGCCCAGGAGCTGGAGACCAGCCTGGGTAACATGGCAAAACACATCTCTACAAAAAATACAAAAATTAGCAGGGCATGGCAACACGTGCCTGTAGTCCCAGCTACTCAGGAGGCTGAGATGGGAGGATCAGTTGAGCCTGGGAGGTGAAGGGTGCAGTGAGTTGTGATGGCACTGCTGCACTCTAGCCTCAGCAACAGAGTCATACCCTGTCTCAAAAAAAAAAGGCCAGGCACTGTGGCTCAGCACTTTGGGATGCCGAAGTAAGTGGATCACTTGAGGTCAGGAGCCCCATACCAGCATGGAGGGCTGGATGCGGTGGCTCTCACCCCTGTAATCCCAGCACTTTGGGAGGTTGAGGTGGGTGGATCACTTGAGGTCAGGTGCTCGAGACCAACCTGGCCAACATGGTGAAACCCCGCTTCTACTAAATATACAAAACTTAGCCAGGCGTGGTGGCAGACGCCTATAATCCTGGCTACTCAGGAGGCTGAGATAGGTGAACTGCTTGAACCTGGGGCAG